CAAAACAGTGGGATACAAAGTCAATATCCACAAATCATAGGCATTTCTGTACACCAACAATGAAACAGCAGAAGCAGAAATCAAGAAAAAATCCCATTTGAAATAGCAAAAAGAAAATTAAAATACCTAGGAATAAACCTAACCAAAGAGGTAAAAGACCTGTATTCAGGAAACTTCATAACACTGAGGAAAGAAATCAAGGAAGACACAAACAAGTGGAAACATATACCGTGTTCATGGATTGGAAGAATTAATATCATCAAAATGTCCATACTACCCAGAGCAACTTACACATTCAATGCAATTCCTATTAAAGTACCAATTGCTTATTTCACAGACATAGAACAAATACTTCAAAAATTTATATGGAATCATAAATGACCCTGAATAGCTGCTGCAATTTTGAGAAAGAAGAGTAAAGTAGGAGGGATCACAATACCTGACACTAAACTATACTACAAGGCCACTGATATCAAAACAGCCTGGTAATGACATAAAAACAGGCACATGGACCAATGGAGCAGAACAGAGAGCCCAGAAATAAACCCAAGTCTCTATGGTCACTTAATATTTGACAAAGGAGGCAGCAACATAAAATGGAGTAAAAATAGCCTCTTCAACAAATGGTGTTGGGAGAACTGGACAGCCACGTGCAAAAACATGAAACTCAAGCACCAACTTACACCTTATACAAAAATAAATTCAAGGTGGATTAAAGACTTAAATATAATATGTGACACCATTAAAGTCCTAGAGGAGAATGCAGGTAGGAAAATCTCAGATATTTCACTCAGAAACTTTTTTACTGACATGTCCCCCAGAGCAAGGGACATAAAGGAAAGAATAAACAAATGGGACCTCATCAAAATTAAAAGCTTCTGCACACCTAAAGAAAACAGTATCAAAATTAAAAGAGAACCAACTGTATGGGAAAACATATTTGCCAATGATACCTCAGACAAGGGTTTAATCTCCAAAATATATAAAGAACTTACAAGACTGCACTCTAAGAAGACAAGGAACCCAATTAAAAAAATGGGCAAAGGACTTGAACAGACACTTCTCCAAGGAGGACATACAGAAAATCCAAAGACACATGAAACGATGTTCAATATTGCTAGCTATCAGAGAGATGCAAATTAAAACCACAATGAGATACCACTTCACACCAGTCAGAAAGGCCATCATAAACAAAGCAACAAACAACAAGTGTTGGAGAGGTTGTGGAGAAAAGGAGACCTTAGTGCAGTGTTGGTGGGACTGCAGGCTGGTACAACCACTATGGAAAACAGTATGGAACTTCCTCAGAAAACTAAAAATAGGTCTGCCTTTTGACCCAGCAATTCCACTGCTGGGATTTTATCCTAAGAACACTAAAACACCAATCCAAAAGGACCTATGCACCCCAATGTTGATAGCAGCACAATTTACAATAGCTAAGTGCTGGAAGCAACCTAGATTCCCATCAGTAAATGAATGGATCCAAAAACTATGGTACATTTACACAATGGAATTCTATGCAGCAGAAAGAAAGAAGGAGCTCCTACCCTTTGCAACAGCTTGGATTGAGCTGGAAAGCATTATGCTCAGCGAAATAAGCCAGGCAGTGAAAGACAAATACCATATGATCTCACCTTTAACAGGAACCTAAACAACAAAACGAAGAAACAAGCAAAATATAACCAAAGACACTGAAATAGAGGGCAGGCTGATGGTTACCAGAGGGAAGAAAAGAGGGAATTTCAGGGGAGAATGGGAAGGGTTTACAGGAACAAATTTAAAGGACACATGGTCAAAAACTAGGGGGAGGGTGGTAATAGAAGGGAAGTGGGAGGGTTGGTGGGTGGGCTGGATTGGGAGTAAAAGGGAGAAAACTGTACTTGAACAATGATTAAAATAAAAAAATATAATAATAATAAAGAAAGAAAGGAATTAACTTCCAGCCAAGACGCAGGCATTCGTTCATTCATTCAGACTGGTAGAAGGTGTAGAGTCAGGCAGCCAGGGCAGAGAGGACTCACAGCAAGAGCCAACTGCAACACTGAGTGGGTAAGGGAGCTGTGAAAGACAAGGTAGTCCCACATTTGTGTGCAGATAACCAGGAAGAACACCTGAGGAGTGAGACAGACTACATAACAAATGGTTCCAGTGCAGGGAATAAAGCCTCAAAACCTCTGGCCTTAAAAACCCGTGCAGGTTGTAGTGGCGGGAAAAACTCCCAGCCTCACAGGAGAGTTCATTGGAAAGACCTACAGGGTCCTAGAATGTACAATAACCCACCCACCTGGGAATTAGCACCCAAAGGGCGCAATTTGCTTGTGGGTAGAGAGGGAAGTGACTGAAACTGGGGCAGGATATGAGCAAACCACATTATTTTCTCTTCGACCCCAACCACATACAGCACCACAATGCAGAGACCTGGGTTGCCCTGCCCTGGCGAATACATAACCATCCGTTCCTTACAATGTAACAGCTTGGCCAAGACAAAAAAAATATATATATGCACCTAATGAAAGAACAGATCAAAGCTCAAAAAATAGAACTAAGCAATGAAGAGATAGCCAACCAATCAAATGCACAGTTCAAAACATTGGTAATCAGGATGTTCACAAATATGGTTGAATATGGTCACAAAAATGGAGGAAAAAGTGAAGGTTATGCAAAGTAAAATGAAGAGAAATGTATAGAGAACTAACAGTGAAAGGAAGGAAATGGGGACTCAAATCAATGATTTGGAGCACAAGGAAGAAATAAACTTTCAACCCAAACAAAATGAAAACAAAAAAAAAACCTCAAAAAAAATGAAGAGAAGCTTAGGAACCTCCAGGACAACTTTAAATGTTCCAGCATCCAAGTCATAGGGGTGCCAGATGGACAACAGGAAAAGCAAGAAACTGAAAACTTTTTTGAAAATATAATGAAGGAGAACTTCCCCAGTCTGGCAAAGGAAACAGACTTCCATGAACTCCAGGAAGCTCAGAGAGTCCCAAAAAAGTTGGACCCAAGGAAGCACACACCAAGGCACATCAGAATTACATTACCCAAGATTAAAGATAATGAGAGAGTCTTAAAAGCAGCAAGAGAAAAGGAGATAGTTACCTACAAAGGACTTCCCATAAGACTATCAGCTGATTTCCCTAAAGAAACCTTACAGGCAAGAAGGAGCTGGAAAGAAGCATTCAAAGTCATGAAGGTCAATAACCTACATCCAAGATTACTCTATTCAGCAAAGATATCCTTTGGAATGAAAGGGCAGATAAAGTGCTTCCCAAGCAACGTGAAGTTAAAGAAGTTCATCATCACCAAGCCCTTATTATATGAAATGTTAAAGGGACTTATCTAAGAAAAAGATGATCAAAAATATGAATAATGAAATGACAACAAAGCCATAACTATCAACACCTGAACCTAAAAACAAAAACTAAGTAAACAACAAGAACAGATTCACAGAAATGGAGATCAGATGGAGGGTTATCAGTGGGGAGAGGGAGTGGGAAAATGGGTAGAAAAGGTACAGGGAATAACTGTAATTTGTTGATACAAAATAGAAAGGGTAGGGGGAGGTTAAGAATAGTATAGGAAATAGAGAAGCCAGAGAATTTATATGTACAAACCATAAACATGAACTAATGGGGATGAATACTGGTGGGAGTGGGTTTGCAGGGCAGAGGGGATAAAGAGGAGGAAAAAATGGGACAACTGTAAAAGCATAATCAGTAAAATGCACTTTTAAAAAAGAAAATAAAGAAATTACATTAAACCATTCATCTTATTAGGATAACTTGTTATATATTTTTTTAAAAAATAAAGAAATTACATTAAACCGTTCATCTTTTTAGGATAACTTGTTATATAGGAATAGCAAACTGATTATATCAGAGAAAACTGAACTGAGGGCAATTAATAATCTGCTACTTCTTACTTTTATCTTTTGTACTGATAGAGGACAACATTCACAATCATGCTTTTATTCTCATGTATTTCAGATAAATGCATAAAAGTGAGCCCACTGAGGTTCCCTTCCAGGTAGTCAGGATAGGATGGAATGTGCATGTTTGTGCAGGAAAATTGGTAATCCTTTTTCACACACTGGGTAGGATTTTAATTCCCGAGTATTCATCCTTTCATCATAAAGACTGAAGACATTCCTAAGCATAAACGAGATATATATTATATGATATTCATATTGGTCACTCACTGTCCCTTTGGTGGATTTGGAAACATTTGGAAAAGGGGAGACATTTCATTTAGAGGACTAGAAGGAGTCCCATTTGGAGGGAGCACACTGAAAGTTTTCAAGCAGAAACAGCAAAATACTTCAGAAAAAAACACAAAACAATCCACATAATTCTTCACCCCTCACACATGGACATCATATTCCACACTTCAATGAGTAGATGTGCAGCATGAAAGACATTTTGTATAATAATAAATTGTCTGGCTCTTTTTGCTTTATTATATGTATGGTCATCTGTTACATATTACATCAGTCTATTTACTAAAATGTACATTTCTTAGTAGACTATTATTGGAAACATGGATTTGATAGTCAGTTTTTTCCAGGGGCTATGTAGGCATGTGGACACACAGCTGAATAACAGAATGAAGTTTATAAAACCAGGAGATCAGCTATAAAACCTACCAGCATGTTCAAGTCTACATTATCAAGAAGCATAGTAAAGGTAGTGCTATAGAAAATAATGATGACCATGTAAGTAAAAACTGTGGCTTCAGATGTTCCTCTACAACAAAATTATATACATGACCTCAGTATCCAAGTGTAGTTTAGTACATAGGAGTAGTATAATACATTACTACTCTTTCAGTAAAACAACACAAATATTACTTGGAATGATACATGTCATAAGAGAATAAATTATGCTAGTGTAATTCATGTTAACCCATGAGATATATGAGAATTTCTAATTACACATGTGTCAGAACTTCTTGTTCTGAAGCTTTGAACATTCTGGGGCCTCATATAGTTGGCCCTTAAAAGCCTACCTGCCAAGGAATCTTTCCAAGGCCGTCTTTATGTCCTTGTTCCTGAGACTGTAGATGAAGGGGTTCAGCATGGGTGTGACCACAGTGTACATAACTGAGGCAACTGCACTTGACTGTGAGTGGTGGGTACCAGCAGAGCCCAGATACACGCCTAGGCTAGTACCATAAAATAAGGAGACAACTGAGAGGTGAGATGCACAGGTAGAAAATGCTTTATACTTCCCCTGAGCTGATGAGATTGCACATATGGAGGACACTATCTTAGAGTAAGAATAAAGGATCCCAGCCAGGGGACCACCACCCAGCAGCCCTGCTGAAAAGTACATCACCATGTCATTAGGAAACGTGTCAGAACAGGCAAGTTGGACCACCTCTTTGAGTTCACACAAAAAGTGGGGGATTTCTAAGTCTGAGCAGAAGGACAGATCCAACACCATTAAGCTTTCTAACAAGGAATTCAGAATACTAATAATCCAGGACACCAGAACCAGCAGCCCACAGAGGTGGGGATTCATGATGACCATGTAGTGCAGGGGGTGACAGATGGCCACATACCTGTCATAGGCCATGACAGTAAGGATTAAGTCATCTAACCCTGCAAAGTGTATATAAAAATACATCTGGGTGATGCAACCTGCATAGGTGATGATTTTGCTCTGTGTCTGGATGTTCACCAGCATCTTTGGGATGGTGGTGGAGGTGAAGCAGATGTCTACCAAGGACAGGTTGGAGAGGAAGAAGTACATGGGGGTGTGGAGGTGGGAGTCTGAGCTGACAGCCAGGATGATGAGCAGGTTTCCCAACACAGTGATCAGGTACATGGAGAGGAAGAGCCCGAATAGGATGGGCTGCAGTTCTGGTTCCTCTGATAGTCCCAAGAGATGAAATTCTGAAATATGTGTACCATTGCCTGGTTCCATATGGTGCAGATGACTACCAGAAAATAGAAGAAAATGAATAACTAATTTTCCATTAGTAACTCAGAATAAATGCTGCATTTCTATTTTAGAATCCAAAAAATAATTTCCATATTGGGTTAGGATCTGGTTCCCATTAAGGCATGTCTACTGCCATTGCTCATTAGAAGTCCCTTTACTCCCATCAACTCATTCTTCAAACACCATTTATATTTGCTATTTTATTGGGTATATAGTTTATGCATTTGAGGAACATACTTGTATGTTGATTTCAGACCATGTTCCAGGCACTGTTCAGAGTATGGGATGATGACAAACAAAAGTCTCCACAAACTAATGATGGACAAAAAATATAATCAAATAACAATAATAACATAACATATCTAATAGTGCAGATGCTATATAGAAAAGTAAATCACATTAAATGGAGAGAATGGAGAGAGGAAGTTTCTTTTTTTTTTTTTTGTAATTTTCCTATTACCACTTAACCCTCTGATATTCCCGCACCCTAATCACCACATTGTTGTCCATGTGCATGAGTCTCCTTTCTTTTGCTCAATCCCCCACCCTCTAACCTCCCACTTAATAGCTTTCATTCTGTGGTTTATCCATATGTCTCTATTTTGTTTATTAGATCACTTTGTTCATCAGATTTCACATATAAGTGAAACCATATGGCATTTGTCTTTCTCTGACAGGCTTATTTCACTTAGCATAAAGTTCTCCAGGGCAATGCATGCTAAGGGTGGTCTTTTTCTATAGAGTTTAGCCAAGGCCTGACAACAGGCAACACTTTAACTGGCACCTCAAAGAAGACCAAACAGGAGGCTAAGGGGAAGAAAGTGTTTGCCAGGCAGAAAAACAGCCAGTGCAAAGGCCCTGAGGAAGATGGTAGTTTTAGAAAATCAAGGCTCACACTGAGCCAATGTGTCAAGGGGCAGAAGAGATGGTGTCAGATGATATTAAGAAACAAGGTGGCCTGCATGCTGCTGTTGAAACTTCAAGTCACAGAGAGTCCCTTTTGCACACTTTGAAAATCTTGCACTTTATTAATCTTGTTGCAAAAGCATCCTGTGAACTGAAAAGAATTTCCTCCTGAGTCCCTTCTCTTGATGGAGTTCTGCCCCCTGTGTGATAAGTCACCTTGGAATACATGAGTCCAGGTACCCCTGCTCTGAGCACTGCTCTCCATTTACGAGGCACACGTGCACACACACACCATGGCCTCCTCACGTGTGTGGTCTCCATGTTTGTCTCACTCACTATTTAGGCTATGAGTACATACAACTCAGCTGTCCAGATTAAGTAACCTCTCCAAAAATAATTTAGACCTAGTACCTCAATATTAAGCTTGGGTTCCATATTGGAATGTCCATTGTATGCCCTGTATTTAAAGAAACATAAATGTAGAGGGAGAAAGAAGAATAAAATGGACACCAGGAAGAAAAAAATATCTGTTGATAATAAGCTCAGGTGGTCTCTGAGAGATGATGAGGAAGAAATGTCTTTAGATTCTGGCAGCTTTCCAACCTTAAATACACTCCCTTGAAGTCAACAAAAATAATAAAGGAGAAAAGATATATTTGTCCAAAACACAAAGGTAGTTATCAACACATGGTGTGGAAACACCTTGCAGATTGACACCCCAAATGAAATCTGACCAATAAAATAAACTAGTATTTTACAAAAGGAAATCTTTTTAATACCAAGCAGTAGAAGACTAGATTTCTTGTGCCTATTCTATATTTATTTGACCAGTGGGTTTTTATAAGGTTAAAATGCACATGAGACAAACTCCTTCCTCACTTTTCTCACATGGCCCCTTTGTTTCTGTTTGACTTTGGGTTTGGATCTCATTTTTGACAAATCAGTGGGCACTGTCTAATTCTGGTTCTGATCTTCATCCAACATGCAAAGACCTCCCCAGGATGACCAATAAAGCCTGCACACACCATGACAATCTATTCTTTTACACTGAGTAACTTTCTTCACATGATTTAAGCCTGAGCACATTATCATGCAAACATTTATTTCACCATACTCTGCCTTCACCATCACAATGCCAGATCTGAACAAACAAGGCTTCACCTGCTTGGTTTACCTTTACATTTTCATAAATGTATGTGTATATATGTGCACTTACCCAGAAATCCATTTAAGTAAATGTGAAGTTATGAAGTGAAAGAAATGGCAGAGGTAATAAAACCTGGTTAAACAGAGTTATTTAGCACCTATGTTAAAGCAAATTGAATGGAGAAAAATGAGATTTCTGGCCAACATGGAGGTCTAAGTTGACTCACTGTGACTCCTCGTACAAACAAAAGAAGGACAACAACAAATTTAAAAACAAAATGCAACCAAAACTGACAGAAAATTGAACTGTATGGAAGTACAACAACTAAGGATTTAAAGAAGGAACATTCATCCAGACTAGTAGGAGGGGCCGAGAGGGGCAGCTGGGCAGAGAGGACTCCTGGCAAGGCAGTGGCTGGTTGAGTGGGTGGTCACCCATTAGCGTGCAGATAAACTGGGAGGAACAACTGGGAAGTGAGACAGAACACGCAACCCAGAATTCCAGTGTGGGGAATAATGCCTCAAAATCTCTGACTAAAAAAACCTGTGAGAGTTGAGGCGGCGGGAGAAACTTCCAGCCTCAAAGGAGAGTTCACTGGAGAGACCCAGGGATCCTAGAACATACACAAACGCACCCATGCAGGAATCAGCACCAGAGGGGCCCATTTTGCTTGTGAGCCGTGGTGAAAGTGACTGAAAGCCCACAGAAAGCTGACCAAGTGTCATTGTTCCTTCTCTGACCCCCCCCCACAAATAGTGCCACAATGCAGTGATGTGGGTTGCCCTACCCTGGTGAATACCTAAATCTCTGGCCCTTACTATATAACAGGCATGCTGAGACCAAAAAAAAAAAAAATGCCCCAAATGAAAGAACATATCAAAGCTCCAGAAAAGATACATCTAAGCGATGAAAAGATAGCCAACCTATCCAGTGCACAGTTCAAAACACTGGTAATCAGGATACTCACAAAATTGGTTGAGTATGGTCACAAAACAGAGGGAAAAAGTAAAGACTACACAAACTGAAATAAAGGAAAATGTACAGGGAACCAACAGTGATGGGAAGGAAACCAGGACTCACATCAAGGGTTTGGAACAGAAGGAAGAAAGAAACATTTGACCAGAACAGAATGAAGAAACAAGAATTTAAGAAAATGAGGAGAGGCTTAGGAACCTCCAGGACAACTTTAAATGTTCCAGCATCTAAATCATAGGGGTGCCAGATGGACAACAAGAAATGCAAGAAACTGAAAACTTATTTGAAAAATACTGAAGACGAACTTCCCCAATCTGGCAAAGAAAATAGACTTCCATAAACTCCAGGAAGCTCAGAGAGTCCCAAAGAAGTTGGATCCAAGGAAGCACACAACAAGGCACATCAGAATTACATTACCCAAGATTAAAGATAAGGAGAAGTATCTTTAATCTTTTCTTGCTGCTTAAAAGCAGCAAGAAAAAAGGAGACAGTTACCTACAAAGGAGTTCCCATAAAACTGTCAGCTGATTTCTCCAAAGAAACCTTGCAGGCAAGAAGGGGCTGGAAAGAAGTATTCCAAGTCATGAAGGTCAAGAACCTACATCCAAGATTACTCTATCCAGGAAAACTATCCTTTGGAATGGAAGGGTAGATGAAGTGCTTCCCAGACAAGGTCAAGTTAAAGGAGTTCATCATCACCAAGTTAAAGGAGTTCATCATCATTATATGAAATGTTAAAGGGACTTATCTAAGAAAAAGATGATCAAAAATATGAACAATAAAATGACAACAAACTCACAAATATAAACAACCAAACCTAAAAAGAAGAAGAAGAAGAAGAAACTAAGCAAACAACTACAACAAGAACAGAATCACAGAAATGGAGATCACATGGAGGGTTATCAGTGGGGAGAGGAGGGAGGACGGGGGAAAGGATACAGGGAATAAGTAGCATAAATGATAGGTGGAAAATAGACAGGGGAGGTTAAGAATAGTATAGGAAACATAGAAGCAAAAGAACTTATACGTATGAGCCATGGACATGGACTAAAGGGGGGGCAGGGAATGCAGGTAGGATGGGTGTGCAGGGCAGAGGGGAATAAAGAGGGCAAAATGGGACAAGTGTAATAGCATAATCAATAAAATATATTTTAATATTCTTAAATAAATAAAATGAAAAACAAATGAGCCAGGAGAAAACCACAAAAGGAACCATGCAATTAAGCAATAAAAATAAAAATGGGATAACTAATTATCCCATTAGTTATATGGGAAATTAAAATGAGAACCATAAAGAAATACACACCCACTAGAACAGCTAAAATTAAAAAGACTGGCTTTACCAAGTGCATATAGAACAATGCAACCTCCATATACTATTTGGGGAGTATAGATTGGTGCAACTACTTGCAAAAGCTGTTTGGCGGCATTACTAAAGCCGAACATATACACATTATGTGATCCAGCAATTCCACTACAGACATACATACATATGAGCATCAAAAGATATGTCCAAGGATGTTGAAAATAGTGGCACTATGTGTAACAGTCTCAAACTGGAAACAGCTCAGACATCCACCAACAGTAGAATGAAATGAATTTATACAATAGAATACAGTAGTCTTCCCCTTATCTGCCATTTTGCTTTCTCTGGTTTCAGTTACCCATGGTCAACCACAGTCTAAACATATTAAACAAGAAATTTCAGAAATAAACAATTACCAAGTTGTCAAAAAATTGAACAGAACATCAAAAACTAATGAAAATAAGGTATAAGTACCAATGTGTATTAGTAATTAAATTGGCAAAGGCACAGATACAGAAGGTAATGTATGATGTCCCTGAACATGATGGCAAAGCAGAGCTAAGTTTTATTTGTTGGATGAATCAGGAATTAGGCCTCAGTATATAAGTACATTTAATACATGGTAAGGTTGTATTTCTATATATTTGA